CATTTATAGAGGTTATAACATCCAGGATTTTTGGCTGCTCTGTAGAAGTCCTCTGGCAAAGAATATTTTGTTTCACCATCAAACATTTTTTAATAAATAAATTCATGTAAAATATATCATCTGCAGAGTTAGTATTATAATGAATTTTAAAAGAAAATGCTTAAATTTTAAGTGAAAGGCACTGGCTTAATGAAAGGTAGTGGGAACCAACTATATATTTGTTTTGTATATAGGAACAAACCATGTAAGAGAAATAGAACATTTCAGGAGTGCTTCTGCACATCATAGTTTATGATCTTTATCCTAGCACTCTGTTTAAACATATTATAGGTATATGATGCTTTAGTTTGTTGATGAATAGTTATGGCTTAAATTATTTATTTTTTAGCAGAAAACATAGAGGTTGCTAGGTTGCTTTGCTGATGTACCAAAGGAATAAATGAGAGCGCTAATGGTGGTGCATCAATAGTTACATACAATTTGTTTGCACCAAACCCAGTGTTGTATGTGCAGGAAAGAGCTTAGGATCTACAGTTCTTTGTGGCAACTGCATGTTTGTGGCACCTGTTCTAAAGAAGGATATTAGAGGTGGGCTACAAAATTAATAAAAGGAATGGAACATATCAGCTATGAAGAAAGGTTAACAAATTTAAACCTCTCTAGTTTAGAAAAACATCGCCTGAGAGGGGATATGATAACATTATGTGGAAATCTATTCACAAACCTGACTTTACATAGGACACGAGGTCATGCGTTTAAACTGGAAGAAAGAGGATTTCGTCTAAGGCAAAGGAAAGGTTTGTTTACTGTAAGAACAATCAGGATGTGGAATTATCTGCCTGAAGAAGTGGTTTTATCAGAGTCCATACAGATGATCAAACAGAAACTAGATGCATACTTGCAAAAACAGAATATTCAAGGATATAACTTTTCAATGTAGGGTAAAAGCTGCTTGATCCAAGGATACATCTGACTGCCATTCTGGGGTCAAGAAGGAATTTTTTTCCTAGTTGCAAAATAGGAAGTGCTTTTTTTTTGCCTTCTTTTGGATCAACAGCAAAAACAAATGTCAGGAAGGCTGAACTCGATGGACGCAAGTCTTTTTTTAGCTATGCAACTATGGTAAAACCTGTCTGTGATGGCTACCGTTTCCATCCATATTTGAAAACTGTATCTTGTTACATAGTTCCATAGGCTGAAAAGAGACATGTGTCCATCGAGTTCAGCCTTTCTCTCATCAGTTTTTGCTCCTTATCCTAAAGATTATGATGCTTAGCCTAAAATGTAATTTACAATCCTGGGGTGCCAAGGCTACCCACTTTTGGCGGATGATTTCTGAGTATACGGTGCACACAACATACACTGAATATAACTTTGCTGCCGTGTAGTTTGGCAAGGACTCTGTACACATTGCGACCCAGCTCCTTCTATTGATTGACTAGGTCACTAATGCAGAATGATAAACTGATGCAGATAAGCAGAGGCTCATTCACAGTGTCAGTTTAACATTTGCTGGGGGTAGGAAAGACTCCTCATATCTTTAGTGAAGGGTAGGGGTCAGGCATTTAACTGACTACTAATGATGCTTTATTTTTGTATGATTATATAAAATCTTTTTTAGAATAATCTCCTTTTGTAAAATAACTGTTTCATGGATTCCCTCATTGTTTTTCCCCATGGAAATATGTATTTAGCATCTTTTAAGGCCTGTTGTTATTGGCTGGTTGGTAGTTCTCAAACAAAAAGTATGAAGCAAACATTATAGATTTTACCATTATTGGTAGCGTTCTTGATCTGTCAAATTCCTCTGTATTTTTTTTTAAACATTTAATACCCAAACTGGCATTAAATGGAAAGCATTTGATTATTTTTAGTATACACTTTGCAAAGATCTATGAATCATATTTGTGAAATTACATACTGTATAAAGAACAATTTTTAAAATGTTTGAAAGTGGAAAACCGTAGACAGATTATGTTGCTTTCCAAGCTAAATAAGTTAACATTTCATACCCAAACATTTTTTTTTTTGTAAATCTTCTGTGTCCTTTTAATGCACAGATATGTACCGAATCCTGGGAATCAACCAACAGAAGGTCAGTGTGGTGTACCGCCTAGCACCCCGACTGGGTACCTCTGTCAAGTTCACTTCCTAGCTCTCCTTGGGGACACAGGAGTGCTTCAGCCCATAGCCGCCGCAGCTTGGCTGGGGTCTTAACGTCGCTCCCCGCCCTGGAACTGGGTCCTGGATACAGCTTCAAGTGATTAAGCTCTCCCACAGAGAGTATAGATGATCCACCTAAACACTAGCCCAGACTGTGTGAAGGGTGAAAAGGAACTGCTTTATTATGGCCAAGTTGCCTGCTTATATACACAACCCCCAGCAAGGGGTCTCCTCACAATACAATGCATGCCCCTCCCAAAGATCTCTGTGTCTGGGAGATAATTACGTTAAATATAGGTAAGCTAATTATCTCCCAGGAACAGAGAGGCAAACACAAAAACATAAAACATAACAATACCCCAAAACCTATATGATAACCCCTGTGACGGTCTGAGTAGGTATCACCGTCTTGCATTCCCTTTTCCCATAAAATAATAACGCCAATAATCCACAGATTCCAATATCGCTGGTGTCGCATAATAACCAAGCTTAATGCTGGGACAAGACTGGTTTAATGGAAAACAGGCATTCAATTTATACATCACATAACTCCTCCTCTGAGCCAGCGAGATAATTGAGTTTTGAGAACATACTAAACTCAATTATTTTCTGGTCAGAAAAAGTAAAGATTTTCACGATTTATAGAAATACCCCAAAAGTCACATCTCTAGGTAGCTTGTCTCTGTGGGAGAAACATATCCAAATTTCAGCCAAATCCGTTCGGTAGTTCCCGTTCCAGAGGAAATGTAGCAAGAGCAGGTCTCCGTTCGTGGGCTTTTATACGAAAATTGCAATAGGTGAAATATATCTGGTTCATGAAGAATGCTCCTTGTGTTCGGTAGTTTGAAACTCCCGAAAGCCGTTCGTCTAAAGTACTGGAAAATAGAACGTAGCAGAGTTCCATAGAGACCGGTGTTCGTGTGAGTGCACAGCCAAAAACAGTTCCAGGCACTCGACAACCATGTCCCGCTGGCCACGTTTGGGAGACAAGATGGCTGCCACCCAATGTTCTCACCATGTGTATTCGATTGCACGAAATGGCGGCCACCTAGGAGCATTCAATAAGTCTGCGGTTTTCGTATTGATACATAGTGTTCGGCATTCTAATTAGTCACAGAGATGGTCTCGGTTTCGGCAAACGAACAAATAAACGAATGTGAAAGTTAATAGCAGGGAGTACAAATAGCGAACGGTGATGTTGTATTCCTTCACAACCCCAACAATAATACATCCCCAAATAGCCCTGATATGAGTGCCCAAGTTCTCCAAATAGCGCTCGGTTCTATGCAGTAGGGGAAACGCCACAGTGTTAAAGTTCTGACCGGCCACACACGGTCCTATGCCAAAAATAGTTCCTGGGTGTTTGATGCTTTTACTGGTCAACTTGTTTCGGGAGCTTCTGCGGCTGCATGATGTGGTGCTCCGCCTGGCTCTCAGGTAATGTTTGTTCCCCTTAGTCTTAGGCACCTTCCCTCCAAAAAGCACTCTCCTGGCGGGCTGCAAAGTGATTTAAAACCCCGGACCAAGTTGTCCAGGAACCTCATGCTGAAAACAGTTCCATAACATTCGCGGCTAAGTACTGCTGAGGTGACCAGGGACCCACGAAGTTCTCATGCCGACATCAGTTCCATAGCAGTCGCGGCTAAGTACCGATGAGGACCATTCATGGATTTGGTTCATGTGGATGGCCACCAGGGAGCTAGCGTTCGGTTCCGTTCAAATGAAGGGAAAGTGCCAAACCAGGGGCACCTAGGGAAAGCTGCTAATGTTGGCGGTGCAGGGTATCTGCCAAACGGGGTCTCAGACCTGGACCATAGTCGGTGGGCAGGAGACCAGCTTCCACACTCCTCCTTGAGTTTGTTGCAAAAGTCGGATGAAAAGAGCGTTTGTCACAGTCAGTACAGACTTTACTAAAGGAACACTATAGGGTCAGGAACACAACCATGTATTCCTGATCCTATATTGTTAAAACCACCATCTAGCCCCCCTGGTCTGTGCTTGCTCCCACTAAATATAGTTAGATAGTTACATAGCTGAAAAGAGACTTGAGTCCATAAAGTTCAGCCTTCCTCACATGTTTTTGCTGTTGATCCAAAAGAAGGCAAAAAACCTAGTCTGAAGCACTTCCAATTTTACAACAAACTAGGAAAACATTCCTTCTTGACCCCAAAATAGCAGTCAGATGTCTCCTTGGATCAGCAGCTATTACCCCACTAATTAGAAAATATATCCCTGTATGTTCTGTTTTTGCAAGTATTTATCCAATTGCAGTTTAAACATCTATATGGATAAAACCACCTCTTTCGGCAGAGAATTCCATATCCTTATAGCTCTTACTGTAAAAAAATTTTTTATTTGCCTTAGATGAACATATCCTTCAAAATTGCACAACATATTCAAGGTGTGGTCTTACCAGCATTTTATAAAGAGGCAAAATTATATTTTTCTCCCGAGAATGGATGCCCTTATTTATAAATGACAATACCTTACTGGCCTTAGCAACTGCAGATTGATATTGCTGCCTAATTTGTTGTCTATAACAATTCCCAAATCCTTCTCGTATGTGGTTATCCCTAATTCACTACCATTTAGTGTGTAAGTTGCTTGTGCATTCTGAACCCCGAAGTGCATAACTTTGCATTTCTCTATGTTAAATTTCATCTGCCATTTTAGTGCCCAGTCCCCCAATCTATCCAAATCCCTCTGCACCAAAGCAATATGCTGCTCACATTTTATTACTTTACAAACTTTTGTGTCATCTTCAAACACTGAAATATGGCTTTCAATGCCTTTTTCAAGATCATTTATACATATGTTAAATAGAAGTGGTCCCAAAACAGAACCCTGAGGGACACCACTTACCACTTTTGTCCAGGTTGAAAATTTACCATTAATAACAACTCGTTGTACTCTATCCTTAAGCCAATGTTCCACCCAAGAACAAGAATATGCATCAGACCAATTTCTTTTAGTTTGAAGACTAACCTATTGTGAGGAACCGTATCAAATGCCATGGCAAAATCCAAGTAGATCACATCCACTGCAACACCCTGATATATACTTCTACTTACTTCTTTGTAGAATGCAATTAGGTTAGTTTGACATGACCTATGTTTTCATAAAACCATGTTGATTATTGCTAATAACAAAGTTCTTCCCAATTAATTCCTGAATATTATCCCTTAATAGCCCTTCAACTCTTTTTCCAGTCACAGAAGTTAAGCTCAAAGGTCTATTATTTCCAGGCAAGGATTTTGAACCCTTTTTAAATATAGGAATGACATCCACCTTCCTCCAGTACAATACCTGAAACAAAAGAATCTTGAAAATTTAAATACAGAGGTTCACTTATTTCCCCACTTAACTCCTTAAGTACTCATGGGTGAATATCGTCAGGCTCTGGAGCTTTATTTACATTAATTTTCTTTAACTGCTGTAGCACCTTGTCTCCAATCACAAGTTATCTGCACCGTTTTTGCAGCAATCATTTGCATACCTCTTGCCCTAGGATCCTCATTAATATATACTGAAGAAAAATAGTTATTTAAAATTTCTGCCTTTTTCTGGTCTTCATTAGCTAACGGATCCATCTCTGTTTCCAGTGTACCAACATTTTTTGGGGGGTTGGTTTTGCACTCTTTGGCTATTAATTTCTAATTTTCTAGTTTAGCCACTTTAATTGCCTTTTTGCAAGTAGTATTGGCTTTCTTATATCTTATATAGGATGCCTCTGATTTGTCCACTTTAAGTCATTTAAATGCCCTTTTCTTATTTTTAATCTGTTTTACTTCTCTACTAAGCCACATTGGTTTTAATTTGTTTCTTTTATATTTATTACCCAATGATACATACTGAGAAATGTACCTTTCTAATATTTGTTTGTATAGTTTCCATTTATCCTCAGTGTTTTTTTCACTAAGGAGTTTATGCCAATCGATATGTTTTAGAGGTGCCCAAATCTTATTGAAATTGGCTTTTTCAAAATTATATGTTTTAGTATACCCCACGTGCTTTTGCTTTTTTTAGTTTATTAAAAAAATTACCATATTGTGACCACTATTTCCCAAATGCTCCCCTACTTGAATGTTGGTCAAAAGATCAACATTGTTTGTTATAACGAGATCCAGACAAGCATCCTTTCTAGTTGGTGCTTGTACCAGTTGTGACATGAAGGTGTCATTTAACAAGTTCAAAAACCTGATTTCCCTTGCTGAAGTACTCTTCCCAATTTATGTCCGGGTAATTAAAATCTCCAATAATTGTGTTACCCCGATTTGCAGCTTTCCCAATTTGCTCTAACAGCTGTTCTTCCTCATTAATATTTACATTAGGTGGTTTGTAACATATCCCAGTCAATAATTGATTTCCCTTCATTTGCCCCTAGCAGATATCTACCCATAAAGCTTCCACATTTTTTGAACTCACTCTATGACCTTCCATTTTCCTCTGACTTTGTCATTGGTACCAATGTGCACCATGACATCTGGGTCATCCTCAGCCCCTCCCAGTAATCCCTCCACTCTGTCGGCAACATGCCGGACCCGAGCACCCGGGAGACAGCAAACTATCCAGTTGAGACGATCAGAGTGGCAGATTACCCTATCTGCTCTCTTAATAATAGAGTCCCCTACCACCACAACCTGTCTAGCCTTCTTTACCCGCTCAACCCCACCCATAGTAGAGGAGCTGTTAGAAGGAACAGCTTCCTGCTTTACAGCTACTTCTGAGCTGATGCTCCCAACATCTTCACTCAAACTGGCAAATTTGTTAGGCTGCACAAGATCAGGACTAGCTAAACCTTTCCTCTTCCCTCCCTCCCTGCTTCCTCGCCCCACTGTTACCCAGCTATGTGCCTGCTCACCAACGGTCTCATCTCCTCCCACTCCACTACCTGCACCCACTAAACTCTGCTCAGTGAACAGCAGACTCCTCTCAAGATTGTCAATTTGCCTCAGTGTTGCAATTTGATCTCCAATCTAAACTTCCAGAAAAGCCACTCTAGTTAAATCTAACTTTTGTTCCAGTCTGCTGCTGCTGACTCTGCCCCTGATCTGCCTGCTTGGCTGACATCATCAGAAGTGAATCTCTCAGCCATTCACAATGCTTTCACATAGTAAAGCATTGGATTGGCTGAGACTGTCAAGGAGGCAGATCAGAGGCAGAGCCAGCACAAGCCAAACACAGCCCTGGTCAATCAGCATCTCCTGACGTCAGTGGGAATTGTACCGCTGTTTGCTGTTATACGCAGAGCTGGGCTATAGCTCTATAAAATGTGAGTGCAAGTACATATATCCTTGTTGTGTGTCCTATACCTAATACTATACCATCTACACGATTATTGATTATTTTCTGTTTTATTACATATTTCTATCACTATTGAAGCCTGGAAGATTTCCAGCCAGAAATTTCCCAAGAACCCTTTTGACGTATTGGACTTATTATACTCTATATTTGGCGCAACCTTTTTTCCTTGTATTTTGTATTGTGCTCTTAGATCTGTCTGGTTGGTTGGCTTACAGTGTACAATCAGACACCCAGCCACCTTGGTGGATTGGGACCAGGAATGTACAGACCAATCTCCCCCCTTTTATTGTATTTTTTTGTGTTATTTATTATTCTTTCTCTGGACAGATCATTATATGATCGTTTTTTTATGGGAATGGATGGGTTGGGGAAGGATTGACGCTGCCATACCCTCGGCCCATGGGTGGCCCATGCTTGTGGACAGTGATCTGTCCACTCCTCATTATTTAATTATTGTAAATTTCCACACTTAATACGTTTAAATTATATGATTACATTATACAAATGTATTCACATTGTCTAGAAACCTATTCATAAATAGGGCTGTACATAAGACACAAGGTCACCCATTCAGACTGGAAGAAATTTGATTTTGTTTAAGACAAAGAACAAAGTTTACAGAAAGAACAATAATGATGTGGAATTATCTGCTCAAAGAGGTGGTTTTATCAGAATCGGTTCAGACTTTGAACAGCAACTGGATAGTTTCTTCCAAAAGCATAATATTCATGGGTATAATATTTATTATGTGAGTTATCAGTTTCTTGATTCAAGAGGAGATCTGACTGCCATTCTGGGGTCAAGAAGGAATTTTGTTCTAGTCCAGTTGCACAATTAGTAAGCACTTAAAACCGTGTTTTTGCTTTCTTTTGGATCAACGGCAGAAACAGATGTTGGACAGGCTGAATTTGATGGACACAAGTCTTTTTTTCAGCTTATGTAACTGAATGCCTATGGGTATGGCTGTGTGTGTATATATATATATATTCCCCACATTGCTCTGACCACCCCTCACCATTTTGGGGGCAACGTAGGAGGGCTGGTGCTCAGTTGCAAATTTTTTTTAACTAAACAGAGCAGCCAATGCCTGCTTGCTATTTAGCAGAAATGCCCCCACTCATGGCATGAAGGAGGTATAAATAGTTGTATTATTTCCCCCGTGCCCCAGCTCGCCAAGTGGGGACATGCTTGCCACAATGACCAAATTAATTAAATCTGTGAGCCATTCTGTTAACGGTGGCTATGTATTCTTTTTCTGTTTAATTGACTCAAGATCAAATTTTCTGTCATTTTGTCATTCTTAAATGGACATTATAGCAAGCAGAACAACTACAGCTTATTGTATTTGTTCTGGTGAGTATAATCATTCCCTTCTGGCATTTTGCAGTAAAAACTTGCTTTTCAGAGAAAATGCAGTGTTTACATTACAGCCTAGGGATACCTCCACTGGCCACTCCTCAGATGGCTGCTAGAGGTGCTTCCTGGGGCAGTGATGCTCAGTGTGTATCACTGACATTCAGTATCTCCACCCTCTGCATGGAGACACTGAACTTTCCTCATAGAGATTCATTGATTTAATGCATTTCTATGAGGAGATGCTCATTGGCCAGGGCTGTGTTTGGCTTGTGCTGGCTCTGTCCCTTTTCTGCCTCCTTGACAGTCTCAGAAATTCCAATACTGTGTAACTCTATGTGAAAGCATTGTGATTGGCTTTAAAAAATACTTCTGATGATGTCAGCCAAGCAGGCAGATCAGGTGACTCCAATGCCCCTGATTGGTGGAACGAACGACAAGAAGACCTACAGAAGGAATTGTGGACTTTGATGTTGTGTTATGTTTTATTTTTGCTACTATTTGTATCAAATTGTATTTTATTGTATTTTATTTTTATTTTCTCCTGAGGAAGTCTCCACCAAGAGACGAAATGCGTAGAATTGCTTATTCTGGTCTCCCATTCAGCTGATACAGAGGGACACAGAGACTAACTGATGAGCATTTTTACTTTTCACTTTTTGTAAGTGTATTCAATTAAAGTGTTTATTTATATTTCCAACATTACTATACTATGTCCAGTTTTTTCCTTTTGACATGTACCCTGGGACATTGAGGACACCTGTAGCTGAGCATTTAAAGAAACCTTGATGGGCTCATAATACTCTGACTTTCTGTGAGTGCAATATTAACACAAAGGGGCCACATTTTGATTATATAGTGTTGCCCTATGAATTTTCACTCTGCCTTTATTCTTTAGGTGTATCTTATATTTTTATTTAGATCAGGGGCAGAGCCAGCAGCAGACTGGATCAAAAGTAAGATATTACTATATTTAGGGAGGGCAAGGGGGCTAGATGGTTTGTTTTTCTGACTATAGGGTCAGAAATACATGTTTGTGTTCCTGACCCAATAGTGTTTCTTTAAGAATACTAATGCATATGTCTACTGTACACACAGTATGGCTTTCTGTCTGTTTGACATGTAGCATTATGTGTGTCATGCTTCTTCCTTGTAGCCATTCCTTGAATTTTCTCAACTTCTCTTTCTGAAGCTATGATCTTCAGCACCGAGTTACTCTAGATGAGACCATTCAAATAACGTATACAATTACACCGGTTCCGCTGCACAAATGGTTCGGTTGTGCTTGTATTCACTTGTACAAGCAAAATCTGTTTGGGTGACAAAGTTCATAACACACCAGCAATATTAAGAAATTATTTAATGAGTAACTTTGCTTTTTTTTATGAATAATTAATCTTCCCCAATTAGAGATAGACATGTGCTCTGAGGATATGACCAAATTAAACCCAATCCTATTTATTTTCTTGCCCCCCCACCCCCCACTGGATTATTCAGCTTGTGCTGGTATTTTTCTTTAGAGATTAGTAATACACTACAATACCACCGACCAGCAGGTGGCGCTGTATGTGGAGAAAGGCAGGGATAGGAAACTACATCTTATCCTGGCTTGTCTCTCCTGACTGAATCCGCGGGGAGCAGCTCATGCAGCCAGCAACTCCCAGACTGCAGAGGCAGCCTATAGATCAGGTAAGTGAGGATTGGGGGGGCAGCCTACAGATCGGGTAAGTGAGGGATGGGGGGCAGCCTACAGATCAGGTAAGTGAGGGATGGGGAGGCAGCCTACAGATCAGGTAAGTGAGGGATGGGGAGGCAGCCTACAGATCAGGTAAGTGAGGGATGGGGGTGCAGCCTACAGATCAGGTAAGGAGAGATGGGGGGGGCAGCCTACAGATCAGGTAAGGGAGGGATGGGGTGGCAGCCAGATCAGGTAAGGAAGGGAGGGGAGGGGAAGCCTACAGACCAGGTAAGTTAGGGATGGGGCAGCCTACAGATCAGATAATTGAGGCATAGGGGGAGCAGACTACAGATCAGGTAAGTGAGGCATGGGGGGCAGCCTACAGATCAGGTAAGTGAGGCATGGGGGGCAGCCTACAGATCAGGTAAGTGAGGCATGGGGGGCAGCCTTCAGATCAGGTAAGGGAGGCATGGGGGGGTGAAGCTTACAGATTAGGTAAGTGAGGCATGAGGGGACAGCCTACAGATAAGGTATGTGAGGGATGGGGCCCAGCCTACAGATAAGGTATGTGAGGGATGGGGGGCAGCATACAGGAAAGGTCAGCAAGGAGCAGGAAGGTAAAGTAGGAGAAGGAGCAAAAAGGAGAAGGAACAGAAATGAGCAGGAAGGGGCAGCAAGAAACAGGAAGGGTCTGCAAGGAGAAGGAATGGTCTGCAAGGAGAAGGAATGGTCTGCAAGGAGAAAGAAGGGTCTGCAAGGAGCAGGAAGGGGCAGAAAGGAGCAGTAAGGATCTCTAAGAAGAAGGAAGAGGCAAAAGGAGCACAAATGTAAAGGAGCAGAAAGAATCAGAAGGAGCACAAAGGGCCAGCAAGGAGCTGGAAAGGGCAGCATGGAGTAGAAAGGGGTAGGAAGGAACTGGAAGGGGCAGAAGGAGCGCAAAGATAAAGTAGGAGAAGGAATAGAAATGATCAAGAAGGGGCAGCAAGGATCAGGAAGGGTCTGCAAGGAGCAGGAAGGGTCTGCAAGAAGCGGGAAGGGTCTGCAAGAAGCGGGAAGGGTCTGCAATGAGAAGAAATGGGCAGGAAAGGACAGAAGGAGCAAAAAGGTAAAGTAGACGAAGGAGCAGAAAGGGCTGGCAAGGAGCTGGAAGGGGCAGAAGGAGCAAAAAGGTAAAGTAGACGAAGGAGCAGAAAGGGCCAGCAAGGAACTGGAAGGGGCAGAAGGAGCGCAAAGGTAAAGTAGGAAAAGGAGCAGAAAGGAACAGAAATGAGCAGAAAGGGACAGAAGGAGCAGGGAAGTAAAGGAGCAGAAAGAATCAGTAGGAGCACAAAGGTAAAGTAGGAGAAGGAGCAGAAAGGAACAGCAAGGAGCAGGAAGGTAAAGTAGGAGAAGGAGCAGAAAGGAATAGAAATGAGCAGAAAGGGACAGCAAGGAGCTGGAAGGGGCAGAAGGAGCAGAAAGAGATCAGAAAGAAAAAGGAACAGAAGGGCACAAAAGAAGCAGAAAGGTAAAGGAGCAATAGAAGCCAAGGAAGAGAGAAGACAGTGTCAGAAGAATAAGAAGACTGTGTCAAATGAAGAAGAAAAGGAGATTTGAGCAAGAAGGACAAGTGAAATGATCCCTCCACTTTATTCTGGACACCACATCATAAGGCTTTGGAGCCTGGCAGGAAAACATTGGACCTTCTCATCTTCCCAGGTTTAAAAAAAGTGTTAATTTTGTCTTTTATTTACTGAGTGTCAGGAAGCACAGAGTGCCGTTGGGTAGGAGTGTCGCTGATTGGCTAGAGCGGTCAGATGGCACTCTAAGCCAATTTTATTAGCTCCCCATTCACAAAAAGTATGAACCGGGAACTAGCAATTGACTCAGAGCGTCAGCTGGCTCTAGCCAATCAGTGGCACCCATGCCTGAAGTCAATCTGCACATCCTGACACTCCGTTTCAGAAGCCGAATACTACTGAGCGACCTTGAGGTTAAACCATTTGAAAGAGGTTTAACCCCTTAAAGGAAAGAGAGCACCCAGGTGCCTCCTGGCATCATATAATTTTCATTTAGATGATTTAGATTAGATTTAGATTTAGATGAAGTTGATATGGTGACCAGAATGTTCCTTTAATTTGATTAAAGGAACACTATAGTGTCAGGAATACATATATGTATTCCTGAACCATAGTTGTGATAACGCTATTTACCCTGGCTTTATGCCCCTCCCCTTCGTGATACTGTCAAAAGGGGCCAAACATGGATGTCATTACAATAATGCCCCCCCCACCCCCTCCCCCCGGAAAAGGGGAAGGGGGGAAGGAACACTATTCGACATGGAAGGGGGGGTGAAGAACACTATGAGACAGGGAAGGGGGGGGAGGAGAACACTATGGGACAGGGAAGGGAAGGGGGTGAATAACTATGGGACAGGGAAGGGGGGTGAAGAACACTATGGGACAGGGAAGGGGGGTGAAGAGCACTATGGGACAGGGAAGGGGGGTGAAGAGCACTATGGGACAGAGAAGGGGGGTGAAGAACACTATGGGACAGGGAAGGGGGGAGAAGAACACTATGGGACAGGGAAGGGGGTGAAGAACACTATGGGACAGGGAAGGAGGGGGTTAAGAACACTATGGAACAGGGAAGGATGGGGTGAAAAACACTGGGCGGGGGTGAAGAACACTATGGGACAGGGAAGGGGAGGGGGTGAAGAACACTATGGGACAGGGAAGGGAAGGGGGTGAAGAACACTATGGGACAGGGAAGGGGAGGGGGTGAAGAACACTATGGGACAGGGAAGGGGAGGGGGTGAAGAAAGAACACAATGGGACAGGGAAGGGGGGGTGAAGAACACTATGGGACAGGGAAGGGGGGTGAAGAACAATAGGGGGGAGAGAGGAACATTAAGGGAGGACACTGAGGTACAGGGGAGGGAAGGGAAAAGGAACACTGGGGTAGGTGGGGGGACCACTAAAAGAGAAGGGAGAGGAACAGGGGACACAGGTAAGGGGTGAGGAAGACACGTAAGGGGTGAGGAGGAGGGGAGGTCCTACCGCACATATTTACACACAAACACACTGCATTCACTACACAAACACACACACTGAATCCACTACCCACACTGCATCCACTACACAAACACACACACTGCATCCACTACACAAACACACAGTGAATCCACTTCCCATACTGCATCCACTACACACACACACACACTGCATCCACTACACAAAATTACACACACTACATTTATTAATCAAACACCCTCACTGCATCCACTACACACACATATAAATATTCTTGAAAACATAAAATCTGACTGGCATGTATATTTTGTGCATTTACCACTTAATAAAATAAAGATTTGCAAAAAAAAAAATACGGTAAATGTACAGAATATCGGTAAGCTACCAGCTATCGGCCTGAAAGTTCACAGATTATCAGTATCGGCTCTAAAAAAAAAAAAATATCGGTCGATCCCTAATTTGGTTATTGGAGTGTTTATGGTGC